CCAGGGTTGGGCAGTTGGTACCTGTGAAGGTATGAAGAGAGTAGTGAGGGAGACCAGAAGGCTGTATGCAGACCAGGGTTGGGCAGTTGGTACCTGTGAAGGCATGAAGAGAGTAGTGAGGGAGACCAGAAGGCTGTATGCAGACCAGGGTTGGGCAGTTGGTACCTGTGAAGGCATGAAGAGAGTAGTGAGGGAGACCAGAAGGCTGTATGCAGACCAGGGTTGGGCAGCTGGTACCTGTGAAGGTATGAAGAGAGTAGTGAGGAGACCAGAAGGCTGTATGCAGACCAGGGTTGGGCAGTTGGTACCTGTGAAGGTATGAAAGAGAGTAGTGAGGGAGACCAGAAGGCTGTATGCAGACCAGGGTTGGGCAGTTGGTACCTGTGAAGGCATGAAGAGAGTAGTAAGGGAGACCAGAAGGCTGTATGCAGACCAGGGTTGGGCAGTTGGTACCTGTGAAGGTATGAAGAGAGTAGTAAGGGAGACCAGAAGGCTGTATGCAGACCAGGGTTGGGCAGTTGGTACCTGTGAAGGTATGAAGAGAGTAGTGAGGGAGACCAGAAGGCTGTATGCAGACCAGGGTTGGGTAGTTGGTACCTGTGAAGGTATGAAGAGAGTAGTGAGGGAGACCAGAAGGCTGTATGCAGACCAGGGTTGGGCAGTTGGTACCTGTGAAGGTATGAAGAGAGTAGTGAGGGAGACCAGAAGGCTGTATGCAGACCAGGGTTGGGCAGTTGGTACCTGTGAAGGTATGAAGAGAGTAGTGAGGGAGACCAGAAGGCTGTATGCAGACCAGGGTTGGGCAGTTGGTACCTGTGAAGGTATGAAGAGAGTAGTGAGGGAGACCAGAAGGCTGTATGCAGACCAGGGTTGGGCAGTTGGTACCTGTGAAGGTATGAAGAGAGTAGTGAGGGAGACCAGAAGGCTGTATGCAGACCAGGGTTGGGCAGTTGGTACCTGTGAAGGTATGAAGAGAGAAGTAGTGAGGGAGACCAGAAGGCTGTATGCAGACCAGGGTTGGGCAGTTGGTACCTGTGAAGGTATGAAGAGAGTAGTGAGGGAGACCAGAAGGCTGTATGCAGACCAGGGTTGGGCAGTTGGAACCTGTGAAGGTATGAAGAGAGTAGTGAGGGAGACCAGAAGGCTGTATGCAGACCAGGGTTGGGCAGTTGCTATAAAATGCACAACTGTTTTCCACTATTGAATTCAAAAGCTATACCTTCTTTGAGATACTTATACTATCAGATGAACACATCTCATTTCTGATTTTATGTCAATGCATCTGTGCATTAATAAAATAATGTAAATCCTATAAATCGGAAAAATGCATAAAAACAGCTACTATTTTTTAACATCCAAATGGAAATACTTTCTACTTATACATATCTCCTTTCAGAAGCTTTTTGGTGGGTGTGGACCAACAAGAGGGATGACCTGAGAAGACAACGAAGTGGAAAGGCAGAGGCCCACAGGTTGTCTGCTAAGAACAGCAAAAGGGTCAGATCAGTAAGTACAGAATATCTAATCATTCTAAGGTTAAAGTTTTAACATAAACTTGATTGGAAACAATTGGAAGTTAATGTAATTTCTTGTATTGTACTGAGACATTCAAAAGAAATTTCAAAATGAACATTTTTTAATAAGTTTTAAATAGTAAAGCCCCAGGGTATAGGGTTTTTTTTAAATGTGGGGTCATTCTAGTCGACTAGAAACTGAATGGGTGTTCCCCTCAATCTAATATCTCACATTTTGCAGCTACTGTGTGGTGGTGTTAATAAATAATTGTTAATTGATGTGTTCAAGGTGAAATGTCCAGACCAAAAACAACTGTTTATTTTCACAATAATGGATAATTCATAGTTCTATACGCATAATATCTAAACATGATTTATGCAACATTCAGAAAATAAGATGGCTTTCACAGGAACATTTTGCAGATAAATAGGCAATGACAGTGACCAGTATTTCACAAATTTAGTGAGCGTTCATAAGATATATTATTGATTCAATGTCAGTTTCCCATAAGTCACATTTATTATTTACTGAAAGAGAATCAGTCATGAAATGTCCAACCCAAGCTAAGGAAATATGACCTCTCACTTGTGTCTGTACTCTTTCAAATTTCATTAAGTTGTACTGTGATTGAAATCTTTGCCCCTTTACATGTCATTTCAGGTGATTAGTTAGATTTCTTATTACTACTTGCTTATAGAACAGTGGTTTCAATTTATTTTTCCTAAAGCAATATTGGGAGGTTTTCTTTTTCTAGCTACGGACATTGTTGACGAATGCTTGTTTGTACTGATTGTTTATCGTTTTCTAAATTTCAGAAACTGGAAAGCAGGATGAAGGCCATTGCAACCATAGACTGGCTGGAGAAGAAGAAGGAGAAAGTTCTTCCTCTCTTGAGGAAAGAGCTGACATCACCTATGGTGTCAGATGAAGAGGATGAAAATCTTCTGTTGTCAACTACTTTCTGGTGGGAAAGCAAGAAACTTTCTTCATATAAGCGGCAATTGGACTACCAGCGGTTGTTCAAGGCTACTGCCAGAGGCCGAAAAAATATGAAGATGTGGGGGAAGACATCCCACAGAAGTCCAACACGCTGATTTGCCACTGGACATGCCCAGCTGGACAGTGAAAATTCCAGTAGAAGAAGACCAGCTGAACAACACTGCTGATTATGATTCCTGAGACGCATTTCTGATGTCCCATGCTGTGATGTTGCTTGAATATTGCTAAAAGCGGAGTAAAACAATACTCACTTACTCTTATGTCCCTTTCGGCTGATGTTATGTACATGTAGCTAGATACATAATTAATTAACCATGTTCAATGTGTTAAAAAATCATGTTTGGAATTTTTAAAAACGGAATGGAATGTTTGCACAATCAAAGAGTTTTTAAAAAATTACTTATTTTTAGTGCTTTATTAATGTATGGGGGCATAGTTGTTGAAATTTGTTGACTGTTAATAAACTTTTCATTCATTTGTGTTCTATTCTGTTATTTGTCATCTTAAAGGTTTTACCATTATGCAATTTGATTTGCTATCTGATACATGAAACACCTGGGGGAGCAGGTAAATAGCCAGCATTCAGTTTCATGGAAACCAGGTTGGAAACAACAATATGCTAAACACATGGAAAGCAGCAGGAGCCTAAATGGAGGAGTGGGTAAAGTCCCGACATGGATACCAACTGGTGCAAAATGTAGTTTTCATGGAAACCATGTTATGACCTGGAAACTAGGTTGAAACCAACAATAAACGAAACCATGGAAACCAGGTTGAAACCTACAATAAACGAAAAAATGGAAACCAGGTTGAAACCTACAATAAACTAAAACATGGAAACCAGGTTGAAACCTACAATAAACTAAAACATGGAAACCAGGTTGAAACCTACAATAAACTAAAAAATGGAAACCAGGTTGAAACCTACAATAAACTAAAACATGGAAACCAGGTTGAAACCTACAGTAAATTAAAACATGGAAACCAGCTGGATCCTGCTTGGAGGAGTGGGTAATGAATCGCACTGGAAACCATCCGGAAATGGTGCAAAATTCAGTTTCAGTTTTCATGGAAACCACAATGAAACTTTAGGAAACTACATGGAAACCAACTGGAAATGGTGGTTTCCATGCCGTTTCCTCTCAGTTTCAGTGTTCCTGAAACCAACTTATTTTTGTAGTGGGTGCATTTGTATGAAAGACACCAATGAGCAAACACACAACATTACTACTGAGAAACACGTGTATGACAGTTGAAAAACACTTCCAAGAGTAAGTACAGTTTGAGTGATGTTTATTGTTGACTTACTATGAAGTTGAAATAGAATTGTTTGTAGCAAATAATACTATGGTAATTAAGGAATTACGACAATTTTTATATATACAGTCATCCCTCGCGATAACGCGTTTCTCGATACCGCGGATTCGGTTAAACCGCGGGGTAAAGCATGGCTCCCAAAAAGTTCATGTGAATACACGTTGCGTAACAAGAGCAAAGCACTGACCTAAAAATCCATCCATAACAACGTGTGTTCTCCATATCTATTTGGGATCGTCAATTGATCCTTGATTGTTAAATAAACATCTACCTCATATGTTGTTGCATTATCTGTTGCTTGAGTAAATTAATGAGATCAGCTGTTTGAACTGTCTAAACTAATTTGAACATCAAACATGCCGCGTGTTGTCGTTGGAGTAACAACATGGTGGATGCGTGCTCAGTGTCAACCGGAGTGGAATCCGGACAATAACCGGAAAATAATTAGAATCACATCAAATATGAAAAAGAAAACATTCTCAGTACAGATAGCCTGAAACAAAGCACTTTGTAACAATTTCAATTAAGCTGTAATCATATTCAAAATAGGAGAAGTGAGTGCTGAAATCATTTTCTGTATAAAAGTTCAGGTCGCAGTTGTACCAAATGTGAATTTCACCATGGCATCTACGAAGAACAAACGTCAAGAGTTGCAGAGAAATTGGCCCTTATCAAGAGAGTTAGGAATGGAGAGTCACAGGCCAGGGTCAGTCGCAGCACTGGAGTCCCATCAGGCACCCTCAGGGGCTGTTTAAAAGATGAGGAGAAGTTGAAGGGATTCGTGATGGAGACGGAAGATATCAGAGGTCTTGGCTTAAAGAAAGCTAAGACAGCATACGACACGACGCTGGACAAAGCTCTTTTTACATGGTTTACACAGTCGAGACATGACGGAACACCAATATCTGGGGAGTTTGTGAAAATTCAAGCACAGAAGTTTTCCAGACAGATTCATGGATCCGAGGACTCTTACAAGGCCAGCTCTAGGTGGCTATGACGCTTCCAACCGCGTCATGGAATTAAGTCATTTTCGGTGACTGGGGAACGTCATTCTGCCGACCAGGAAGCAGCTAGTAGTTATCCGACTGAACTATGGCAGCTGATCGAGTCCAAAAGGTCTGGAGCCGGATCAAATATATAACTGTGACGAAACTGGGCTATACTATAAGATGTTGCCGGACAGAACCTTATCCATGCCAGAAGAAAAACGCCCAGCTGGGTTCAAGAAGGCCAAACAACGCGTCAGAGTTTTGCTGACAAGTAACAAAACAGGAAAGCATAAGCTGAAGCCCCTCATTATAGGAACGTCGCAGAATCCACGCTGTCTCCACCATGTCAACCGATCAATCTTACCTGCTGTCTACGCCGCCTCCAAGAATGCCTGGATGACAGCAGCTATCTTTCAAGAATGGTTTTTCCATAAGTTTATTCCTGCAGTCAGACAATATCTACAAAGACTTGAGGAAAAGGCTATACTGTTGATGGACAACTGCCCCGCCCACCCACCTACGACCACGCTGATATTGCATGACGGGAAGATTAGAGCAGTGCTTCTCCCAAAGAACACCACCTCTCTCCTCCAACCGATGGATCAAGGCATTATCCAAGCTTACAAGTCTCACTACCGAAGAGGACTTGTGAATAGAGCCATTGAATCGGGACTCACTCCCGTGGATTTCCTAAGGACCGTTACAGTGAAAGATGCAATCACTACCTCCCACATGGCATGGCAAAGCGTATCACAGCAAACTATCGAAAAATGGTGGAACACTTTCTGCACTGTTTTATGCAGGACTATAAACATGTAAATACATGTATATATACTTTGAGCAATATTTGTAGTTTTTATTATACACATTCATGTCATTAAACAAATGCAGTTTTATTTAAAGCTCACTTCGTGTTTCTCTTCATTCTTGTGACAAGGCAGACTTTCTCCGGATTTTAAAGCGATCATCCAATCACTGCCTCCCTTTTTGTAAACAAACTGGTACAATTTATTTGATTGGCTAAGCAGCTCGCATGTCGCCGCCTCTCCATGTGTTTGTGTATGTGAGTTGACATCGACATTTGAAAAGAATAAGTCCTTATTTACATCTATCTGGCATGTAAATAAATATCTGAACGATAAATAACACCCATACTGTTACATTATGGAAGCAAGCCTACAGTGAACTCTTTATTGGGGAAATGCGGAACATTGCTTCGTTTAGAAAAATGGCTGAACAGTCAGTCTGTGAGTTTGATAGTGAAACAAGCAGTGTAACACTTACCATATCTTACCATGTTTGCATTTTAAAGATCAATCTTACTAAACGAAAACACACAAATACTTGGGTACAAATTTATTTTCGTAGTTTTGCTAATTTTGTAACCATTCCCAGATAGACAAACGTTTTGTGTATACACACGTACATGTTAATTAGTTTCTCACCCGACGGTCTACATTCCACATTAGCAATAACGCGGGTTTCTGATAATGCGGGGGGTCGTCAGTGGACCCCGAGACCTGCATTATTGCAAGGGACGACTGTATTGTGATTGAACTTGTGGTAGCCGTGGCGTTGTGACAGCCACAGTTTATTGACAGGTACGTGACTAACCTACACCAGAAAAAACATACCACCTACCTATGTATGTGAAGCCATGCTAAGCAATTGTTTAAAGGGCAAGTTTTCACGAAAATTAACCTTTTCGTGTTGTACTTTTGACATGATGAATAGTTTCTGTACATTAGTGTTATAGCCAAACCCTTACATATTTCAGATGTAATTAATTTTTGGTTATATGAATTTATGTTTACCACATTAGCCGAGAGTTCTATGTACACAATAAACACACCATAAACTATGTGCGTTGAAATAGCTTTAGGCGAATGACGTTGTTAGACCCATTTGACTTGGAGCAGCTTAGTGTTAGGGTTGTTGTGTATAGATGCACATGCTACTGTTTTAATGCACCTGTTGTCTAGCCATAAGTTGGCTATTTGGTGAGTTGCACACTGTTATGAAGTGGCCGATTGAAAACAGACGTATATTGGTGAATCTCAAAAAAAGGTCAAATTGACGTTATGGAAAATAAGAAAATACAAAGCGTTGTACTGAATTAAATGTTTATGTTTTTGAATGGTCAACACATTAAAACATAGTCATGATAAATTGAACACAGGAAAGTAATAAAATATTTTTAAAATAAACTTTTTAAACTATGCACTGGAAAAAGTTTGTCAGTGGTGTAACAAGCATAAAAGTAAATTTTATCACACTTTAGTTTAGTTTAGTTTCACACTTTAGTTATTGCTTACAAATTATTTCTTTTTTTCAAATTTAAATTACATTGCGTCATTATTCCCACAAAGGGTTATGTAACTTTGACCAAAATGTCTTGGTGTGAGAAAAATGAAATGGTAACATATGGTATTTTTTCTGATACAACTAAGACTGAACATGTGTTATGTATACACTGACATTAAAACTGCCCTCAGTTATCATAAAATATGAGTGTAACAGTTAAATTCTTTTTTTGAAATAATTAAATATGAGCAAATACCTAACCCTGATAATATGATTTCACTTGCAATAAGCGATTTGGAAAGGAATTTCAAAAATAATTAAGACATGCCCACTGCATTTATGTTGGTGGTATATTTGTATATGGCATGTACACTAGTGCCCCGTTTATACGGACACTTGAGTTTTTGTTGAAATTGTACGGAGAAACAAATTACAGGATATCCGAATTACGGACCATATGTAAAAAGACATAAGACGCCTGCACACTCACAGAAGCTGATAAACTGGTGAATGCAGACACCAGCTTCCTCGTGAGACACGGATGGGGGAGGTGGCGACTAAATATGATGTGTGTGAAATGTTAGCAACCAGTTAAGAAACAGTTCTGATGTGATGCACGTTTTCGCATAGTTCATGTACCTTACATAAACGTAAGGATTAAAGTGACTGCCAAAACAACGGGGACGTGTTAATTTCAGGTAGTTAATACTCTGCCGTTTGAAAGAGTGACGACTTATTTTAGGTTAACGAATGCAAGGACAATCGGTAAAATGCATGTGTAAGCATATGTATAAATTTAAAAATAATAATTTATTACATATATATGTAAGGGAAGGTGCAAGAGGTGGCACATATATAGTATTACTTATGTGAAATTTTACTTGGAGAATTGAATTAAAGTTAAAATGTATAATTAAGCACCGTACACTTTACACAAACGACCGATTTCCTAATGTGTTATGATTTTTTTCCCAAGGTACACACTGAGTGCTGTGAACGTAATATTATTAGACATAACATGTGTATGCAAAGTTTCCAGATACCATTGATATAGTTGGTACGACATTATGCCTTAGCAAGGCCACCCATTTTGATTTTCTTCACATTCATACTTTTTAAGACAGGTGAAATTCTAGGTTAGAAACCCTGTGCACACTTCTTATGATTATTGCAAATGCAGGGAAGGTGTTAATTGGGATAGAATATTAAAAGAGCTGATAATTTTGACGCACCTTAAGAATGGCCCGCTTAATAAACGAATGAAATATAAAAATATATTTATTTTGTGGTGATTTCAGGACTGTACAACCCCATTGTTAACTTTGAACACCTTTAGAATACCTTACCATGATATGTACGGAAGTAACCTTCAGCATGAAGTGACGTAACATGCTCTTAAATTGAAGAAACTTTTGCAAATGAAGGAAGTTATGATAATGATGTGTACTGGCTAGCGACCAGTTATCGCCGCGTACCAGTTATCGCTAACACCTGTCTGTAGCGCTTGTGCAGACAGCTTGACTTTTACTTCCGTAGTATTTCACACATTGACACAGAACAAAAAGCGAAAGGCTAAGAGAGATAAAATCACTGTGAGTATTTTACATTGTAGACGTTACAGATATTATGCTCTCGGAAGACTAGACCCAAACTCGTTGGGGGGATGTGACGTGAGCATTCATGTGCTGACATGAAATTTCATAAATGATGACTGACTGACTCACTGAGTTTGGTTTTACGCCGCTTTTAGCAATATTCCAGCAACATGACGACGGAGGACACCAGAAATGGGCATCACACATTTTACCCATGTGGGGATTGGAACCGGGGTTTTCGGCGTGACGAGCCAACGCTTTAACCATTAGGCTACCCCACCACCCCTAATAAATTATGAGAATTGGATGAAAATAATGCGGGCTATGTTGTGAATGTATGACATTACAGTTCAGTGCATAAAAAGAGCAGTTTTTAATTTGTGTAAACATACCCATTAATGCAATGAGTAAACTTTGAATATTGAGCTAAATTTCCATTTGCGTTTTATGGACTCGACGGATACCATGCAGAAGATACTGACAAAATATAACTAGAAGGCGAAATGTGCATTTTTACCTTTTTTATTTCCTTTTTTCCCGGAGAAAACAAACATTACGAAAATTGCAAACAACTATTGAAAGAGTTAACTTTGATAAGTTCAACCGCACTGCAACATGTGCATATTAGCGTATTGAAAAATTAAGAAATGATGATAACTGGTACTGTTACTTGTTGGGAAAGCACAATAAACACTATCGCGCTCCCTGTTGACAGCGTTTCGGAGAAACACGATGGGCAACTTTAAACAAGCAGTAAATGTTAGGGGTGGGTATTGCAGAGAATTTTCATATTGCGATATATTGCGATGCCAAAGCATGTATTGCGATATGTGTTGCAATATATTGCGTGAAGTATTTTTACACAAAAAACTACTTAAAATTGAGGTAATGCTTGATTTATAGAGCAAATACACAGCAAAATCACTATGCTTGATTAAGCTTTAATAACAACTTTTATTCATGATATTCCCACATTAAACAACTTAGGAACATATTCATAAGAAACAATATCATTATAAAACGTAAGAAGGTTGTTGATGAGTGACCTTCCACTAAATTTAACCTGCTCATTTACAATATGATCCGGGACTGAGGATTTACCGCCTTCAATGATTTTACAGTTTTCAATAGTTCATCACCAGTAAATGGACATAAAAGATTCATACTGGTGTCATTACAGTCATCAACGTCTTGTCTTGTGACAAGATCTTCAATAAAACTATTAACAAAACAGGTAAAATCTTGATCAAAATTGATATCTTCATACGGCTGGGGGAGATCCCTAAAGTACTTAGCAAATAGGTTACAGATACTTTCTGGAGTGTCACAGGTCTCGTTCTCATACACAATGGTTTTAACTTCGTTCTTTATTACGCGTTTGTACTTTTTGTAACCCTGGTATATTCCTGAATATCAACTTTGGCTGCTTCAGAAATGTCTCTGAACTTTTCATCTTGAAGTTTACGTTTTGATCGGCAATGTTCTTTCCGAAAGATTCTCTTAGCCTGCTTATATTTTACGTAGTGAACATCGTCCTTATTTCGTGGCTTAGCCATATGGACCCATTCTTTACGCATGTGTCGATATCGTTATGACATGGCTTTTTAAATTATCCCTCTTCCAGTAGGGTTTTAAATGGGATTGAAATTTTGAAGCAGGAATACTGATATTGGCTGAAGCATGTAATGAATCAAGGATGAAATTATGGTAGGCTTCAATATACTCCTCTGGTGTGTTGTAATATGCTTTATCTAAACTGACATTTCTGAAATAGTTTTCAGTCTCATAGCGATAAAGCATCAGATCAGTGCTGTTGGCCTTTCGCCAGTTTAACTTTTCACCCCCATAGTGATATTGACGTACATCATCAGTTACATGCATACAAATAAGTATAGGGTAGTGATCTGAGACAGAGTATGGGATGGAATAGTCAATATCATAGCCAACAATGCTACTTCTGCAATCAGTGTTAACAAAAACATAATCGATCATAGTTTTAACCTGTCTACATTTACTAGTGTAGGTGTAAGCATTTTGATTGTCTAGTGGTACAATCGAGATCAGGTCACGTTCCTTCAAAGCTCTCTGCAAACACTTAGCTCAAAGTTTTAATGCTGAGAGAGTCCGAAGGTCAGTATTAAAATCACCAAGTATTACAGTTTGTCCATGATATGAACAGGTATCATATACATCCATAGCATTATGGAGTTCTTCTGCGTAGACAGTGTCCATGACATTAGACGATGGGAGTCGCACACCAACTATGTACACTGGAATGCCACATTTAGTCAGCTTAACACCAATGATGCGTTCACTGTTAGGTATATTTAATACCGAGACACTACAACTATCTTGTTTCCTGATGAACAATGCAACTCCACCAGCTCCTCTAGGTGAAGAAAAGATCTGCTGGCTTTTGACATACACATGGAAGTCGTCATGAAGATCAGTTAGAATTGGTTTCTGATTGTCATTCAGCCAGTGTTCACTTAGGAACAGTATATCACAGCTATCCAGTTTATAGTTGAGTTCCGACAAACAGTTCGTAACACCATGAATATTTTTGACTGATTTTTGTGTAATATATTTAAATACCCTATAGTAATTCATTACTACCTGTCATTTTCAGAAACTTGTACAGCGCCTGAAATGCCTTGAGACCATTGATTGGCCAGATCAACGAAAGGAAAAAGTAGCATCAGTACTCACCTTGGACATGAATTCACCAGTGGTGAGTGATGAAGAAGATAGCACTTTATAGCACTCGATCCCCTTTGCCGGGGAGTCCAGCAGACTCAGGACCTACAAGTCGACACTGGACTCAGCAAGAATTTACAGCGCCACTGCCCGCGTTAAGGCCAACATGAGAACGAGGATGAGGCATCCAACCAAAATAACAGAAGGATCTCCGCCCAAGGATGCCCCTGAGTGGGCTATCAAATAGCTATACATGATCAACTCAGTTTGATTTATTTTCAATTTAATAATTTAGTAAAATATATATTAAATTTTAAAAATTTCTTTCATTTCATTTTTAATGCAACTTTATTCATTTCAGTACATTTGTTTTCATTTCAATACAATTTTATTTATTCTTAAATGCAATTTTTATTTATATTCAAATACAATCTTATTTATTTTCAATGCAATTTTATTTTCAATTTAATCTAAATTATTCATGATATTGAAACAACAGCAATTTTGAATAAATAAGCCGAAGTAAGTGAATGAGAAGTCAATCGGCGTAGCTAACTTATGCAATTAACAAACCAGCGCGGATAACACCTTTCATGACTCATGGGGATTTGACTGTAGATGTATGCTAGATTTCACTGATGCGTTGCTGACTGATGATATATACTCGTGAGCAAAATAAACAAGTGTAGAAGTGAGCACAGCTCACATACCCCCGCTTCCCACTTTGGGACATGGAAATGACTGATATTGATATATATAATGTGACAAGGATCAGCAGCTCACAAGACTTTCTCCTTGACTCTACTAAACTTTATATACATGTTAGATAATTGTTTTGCCATGTACTGATTACTGTAATAATTTATGGAAACATTACTTTTTTGTGTTTTCCGTGGAAACCTGACATACAATTGAACTTGTTGCACACAATTAAGTGGACGTAGATGAAGATTGTTATTTTTTAGCACATGGCATATCTGTGGGTCATGATTAACTTAAGTTTGGTGAACCTAGCATGTATAGTTTCGGTGATATGCTGTGGCCAGGTAACCATCAAACACATTTTGCACTAAGTAATGTTTCCATGGAAACTACAACAAAACAAATTCTGAAAAACTTTAAAATAGCAAAAGGCACATCAATGGGTAAAGATTAACATGTGTGTGATTACAGATTGCAGCAAGTGTCCAAAGGGAGGTGCTAGAGCTCATAGAAGACCTCAGGGAGGTGATCAAGAAATGTTTGAAAAACCTGAGGACGTGAACCCGGAGACTGCACAGGAAACGTGAGTTTGTTATACTGTGATTATATGTAGCGGTAACAAACCTGTACAAACAAAGTAATGCACACAACACCACCCCTAAAAACCTTAGTTATTATTACATACAATAACATCATTATAACTTTATCATAAAGACATGTCGATCATCAGCCGAGTACTTACAATGTTTGCTATGATGCAACACCGCGTAATTGCGCGGGTAAACACCGCCATCCGAGAATGTATGATGTCAGAAAACACATTTTATTTGATTAAATTCAATCCCATTTTCATTCATTAAAACTGTTTACAATAACAACGGAGAAACCATGAGTGAAATGGCATTACCTCATTCCATACAACGCCCGCTTACCACATTCGTGAGGGTCAGTTTTTCGCACCTACCGCGATAGCACCAATTTCACATTTTTCTCAGCAATCACGAACAGATTACAGCCTTGTCATCCACTGACCCCAAGACCCGTGTTATTGACTCATTGAAGTCATATTTGACAATTAATTGCCAACATTTTGTTTTTACAATCAAAGTGGCACGTTCAGCGGGAAGTCAGCGGTGACTTGTCAAACTGTCTCCTACGTAAAATGTATCCAGCCAGGTAACCCAAAGTGCTTAGCAATGCTAATTATTATGTTAAATATGTTCGTAGAAAACATGCATTATACTTATACGATAGCAATATATAAGATCTCTGTTAGAATAACTGCTTGACATATAAATTATTCTGATAATGGAATAGAAATTCTTTGATGTTATATTTTCAGATCGTTTTAAACTGAATCAACGGTACATTGGACCAAAACATCGATCTGTGCCGAGCTGATTGCTATTTCCGGCTTAGTTGAATAACAGGTATCATAACGGAACAACAATTGAATTATCATGTCTTGTGATGTTTGATTGCAAGTTTCATGTACGTACATCTATTTTCATTTTCAAAGTTGTTGTTTTTTTCACCTCCAACAATACGATATAGTTTTGACTGGGCACAATACACGAAATAGCAGTTTTGTTATGTCCATGGCAAATACGATTTTACTTGGCCTATGTTCTGCGTTATGTAATCATTACTATAACGCGGGTGTCTAATAACACGGGGGGTCATCCATGGACCCCAAGACCCGCTATGGCGAGGGATGCCTGTATATGGTGGAATAGGCCTGAACCAGAGAGTGGGTCCTGTAGTGTTCCAGAACCTTGGTCCAGGGAGAGGAGGCTGCATCACAGCGGTGCGTTACATCGACCAAGCTCTCAGACCCCACGTCATACCACATTTCGCACGTCACCAGAACAACATTTTCCAGCATTTACTGCCAGAGCTACACGGAACTTCCTACAGCAGAAAGGTGTCAACATTATGCAGTGGCCAGCCCTTAGCCCTGATTTAAACCCAATTGAACATCTTTGGGATGAAATTCAGAGGAGACTGAACAATGTCATATCAAGGCTGAACACAGCTGATTTCTCTCAGAGTGTGGTTCCAGGTACCAATGGCCTTCATCAATTGATTGGTGCAGTCCATGCATATATGCTGTGCTGCAGTTATTGCTGCTCGTGGTGGTCACACTAGATACTGAAGTCAAGAGTCTGAATGGACTGCAAACGTTCACGTAATGTCTTGAACTTGAGTTATTCATTGATGTGTCAAGATATTGTACACAAAAAATGTTTTTGATCGGCTTATTATGTCCATTTCTGTAATGATTTGATTACAGTGCCTATCTAATTTTGACTTCATAATGACGTTTATTTTGCTGCTGAGTATATCAGGTTTAATTCTGCAATAACTTCCACTAAATAATCTTTTGCCTTAGGATTGTTAACATTCTCGTAATTAATAAAGAACAAGACAAAAAACACAGGATTCATTTCCAAATTTGCTTAACTTTGTCAATATCATTTTATAAAATTCTGGAGAGTCTGAGTTTGGACCATAAATGTTACATATTGACATTCTTCACCCATTCAAAGTAATATCTATCAGTAGGAAGTTGCCAGAATCATGTTTGTAAATCTGATGTGTATTGTGTTCAGTATAAGTCTAGAAGAAACACCACGCCTCTTGACTTATCCATTTCTAAAAAAGGAATTGAACTATTACCGCAAGGTAGAAACAAATCAGATATTATACCAAAGCAAGGTTTCTGGAATACCATTACAAATGGAAACAATATAAAAATCAAATGAAAAGAAATTTCGCCAACCTCAAGCACCAAGCCAAGGAAAGCGGTCTTGTATTCAGCTCTGAGAACCACCAAAGAAAGAATAAAAGCATTATACAACACAAATGCAAATCCAAAAGACATCTTCCATACCAAGCTGTAAGAACAGGGTTGAATCGAAAGTGTTAAAACTTTGGCAAATATTCCAAAAGGCAGGGGACAAGTCAGTTATTTCCAAAAGTCAGTATAATCGCACATAGATCCATCATAAGAATGCACTCATTTGGCAAACGAACGAGAAGGTAGAAATAATAAATTTATTTAAAAGATGAGTTCAGCTCCTGAATTCATAAAGCTTTTGTCAACAGATACTCAGCTTAAAAATCTGAAGAAATTTAACAAAAACCTTTGTATCCTAGGTGTGGATACAACAATCAGCATTGGACAATAGTTTATAACTTCTAATTGATCTGTCGCTGTAGCGGTTATCGTGTAGGTCAGAAGTTTTTAGTGGTATTTGGGTTGGCATTGGCAGAGGGTTGCCTCCCTTTTGTTTTGGTCCCCCTTGCGAAACCAGATCATGGCTGAAAGCACATGTCATGTTGAACTTTGCGATGTCTTCTTCGATGGACATTCATGCGATGTGAGGAACCATGGTGTTCACAAAGTTGTGAAGAGAATGTGTACGGACAAGGTTTGCGACAACTTTGTATTTTAAATGAAGAATAAATGTTGGAACTTTTATAGATTGTGTTTTGCACGTGAGTTGCTTGAAACCTAGCGACTACCGCTTATAGTGAACACCACCTCTGAATGCAACTCTCGTGAATAGCAGAACATTTTACTTTATTCATGATGAGTGATAAAGTTTCAGTGATAAGTGGTTTGTCAGGACAGTCGGCAAAGTCAATGCGGACTCGCGAATGGCAGCCGCCGCCAAGGCAGCGGAATATCGTGGTGCAGTTAGAATATGTTGAAAGGGAAGAGAAAACGCCAAGAGTGAACTTTTGAAACTTGAATTAAAGAAGAAACTTGATATTGAAAATGCCAAGTCACAGGTATTTGAACAGTTTGAATCGAAAGTGAAACATTTCTTTATGGAGCTAGTCCAGATAAAATCTCTCCCAATGTTAATGGACAGGCTGTAGAGAAATCAGTAAATATTGAGGAAGAAAATAAGACTGAACTTGTTAAGAAATATATTCAAACATTACCAAATGATGATATTCAGAACTCTAACCAGGATCATGATAAAACATTTGATGGTGCAGATCGTGCTCAAAACCCAGGAATCTATTCCACACCAATTTCTACAGGAGAAACACAAAGACAGACACAGCCATTTTCTTCAACGGCTGAATGTTGGTGCAGATGAATTCACACCCAAGTTTACACCTGATTGTGTTCCCAGAAGGTCTGAGATTTCAAATGTAGACTGTGTTATGGCTGCAGCAAGTGAGATTGCTAATATGACTAGGACATTTGCAGAGAAGTTTAGTTTGAGTAGATTACCAGTTCCTGAACCTGGTATTTTCTATGGAAATCCCATTTATTTTCCTTCTTGGAAAACTGCCTTTGAAACTTTGATAGAAACCCGTGAAATTCAGCCCCAAGAAAAACTTTATTATTTGAAGAAATATGTTGGTGGCAGTGTGCTAGATGACCTAGAAGGATATTTTCTTATGAGAACCCCTGAAGCTCACGATGAAGCTAAACAGCTTCTTGAAGATAGATATGGAAATCAAGTTGTGTTAGGAGATGCATTCAGGGATAAACTAGATGCATGGCCGTAAAAATTAGTTGGAAAAATGGAACAGCATTGAGAAAGTACGCTGACTTTCTGAAACAGTGTTTGATTGCAACAAGAACTATTCCAAGTTTGAGAGCCCCTCGACTTTGAGAAGGAGAATAGAATGTTAGTGTCTAAATTGCCAGACAACTTGATTCACAGATGGAGTCGCGATAGTTGTCATTTTTAGATCGAGGAAAGTATATCCTCCATTTTCGGAGTTTGTGAAGTTTGTGACTGACGGCCAATGTTGCATGTGAACCAGTCACACGGTCCTTGTCATGAAGCAGGACAAAATCAAGGATTCCTTTACACAGAAGGATAGGGTTAGAGACACACAGACAAATCATAGTCTGAGAAGACCAGCTATCTCTATGTCAACAGAAGTAAAGAAGAAATATTGCTTTCCTGTGCAACAAAGATCATGAACTTGAACATTGGCGATGTTTTCCTCAAGAAATCTGTTGCTGATAAGAAGCAATTTCATGCATGCAACGGGATCTGTTTCGTTGTTTGAAATGGGGTCATCGCCAAAGGATTGCCAGGACAGATTGACTTGTCAAGTGTGTTCTCGAAACACCCAACAGTGTTTCATGGTGACCGTGGACAACAAATGTGAGATGAAATCAGATCAATAAGTTTGAATTGGCGTAAACACAAGTGAAATCTGTGAACGGAAAGTAGCTGTTAGTCATATGAAGGACACTGCTCAGAATAACAAGTGTATGGCGATGATCGCATTCAGTGTGGTTGTCACACGATGATAATCCAGATTCTGAGATATTGACTTATGCTTTATTGGACACCCAGTCTGATACAACGCTCATTCTGAAGGATACCTGTGAGAGGCTTGGTGTTACTGGACCTAAGGTTCAGCTGATGTTATCTACAATGCATGCAGAGAACTAAACAATTGAGTGTCAGAAGATCAGGAATCTTACTGTCAGAGGATACAACTCTTCACTGAAGATACCTTTACCTATTTCCTATACCAGGGTATAATGCCTGTGAGTCGTGGTCACATTCCTACAC